AAGTCAATTGCAGCATGGAACCTTGGAGGTCCATTTGCAATACAATTCTCTCTTTTCAAAATTTTTATAAAAGAAATGCAGTTTTAATGTAAATCTGCTTTCTGAGAAACAGTTTTTAAGCTGCTTTGAAAAAGCTAAAGCATATGAGAAACAGCTCCTTAGCCTTAGCTCGATAAACATGTATTAGCAGAAATGCTTTAGTAATGCTGCTCTCATTCACTCTTGTATGGGCTCCTGTTGTGCAGAAAATATATATTAAACGGGATTTAGAATCAGACAGTTCCAGGAGGATTTGGATTGGGGTATTAATGTCATCTTAGTCTGTATGTGCTAATATAACCGAACTTACATAACAAACTTAGATTTGAAAACTTCTATCGCTCAGCTTGTTTATGCTTCTGTGTGTATATCTATGTAGATTTTAATCATTAAAAAGCATTAAGGCCGAGAGTAGCATATCTGTGGGTGGTAAACATTCCTGCTATACGTCCACAAGGTTAGGCAAGCAGGAAGATGGAGTAAAGAAATCGAATCTTTATCTAATACATGAGTGGCTTTTACCTGGACTCAGAAAATAACAAGAAAATAAAAGATGAGAAAAGAAAGAGGAAGGGTTTTGATCTGATCCCATACCCAGGATTACAACTTGGTTATATTATTAAATGTTTCAGGCCAAATGAAGCCAAAAGTTCGAAATATTTCATCAAACCAAAATAATTTTGAGGTTTGAGAATTTATAAGGACACTGCAAATTAGTTATATGTCTATAAAGTCAGTTCTGTTTGGTTGGCCATCAGTGATCTGCATTAGGTTAGTTAGTTTATCTAATGCTTGTCAAAACTCCGACTGTTTTGGAGCAGAAATTGCTCAGAACTATGCTTGCTACAAGAGAAATCGAGATACATTTGGAACTATTGATTTTTATTGTCTCTCTTTCTGAATCAAGCTTTACTTTAAGTTAGCAAAAATCTTAGGAGCTGGAAATGTATTACAAACGTGGAAGTAATGTTTCGATATTCAAACTTGACTAGAGAATGCTGATTAGGTGATTTTTGCAAAGAAGGAATATTTGAGGAAGGTGTAAATGGGACGAAATAGATGGAAACTGGATGCATCCAATTTTGAATAGTAAGAGTACTATTTATTTGAAGTGAGATGACCTTTTCTCGTGAAATATATGAATCTTGGGATGAAGCATTGATTGTGGAATACTGAAATAGTATGTCAATAGTGACTCTCATGGGACCTTACTTTCTCTCTAGGGAAGAGGTCAAAGATGATATCTTCATCAAGCAAGCAAGAGAAGGAAATGATATTATGAAGAAGTTTCTGTAGTTTGTACTTAATTTGAGCACCACATTGGTGGTGGACTGTTTATGCTTATGACCTATTGGTTGGCTATGGATGGTTTCTATGATTTTGGCACCTTGATCATTGAGCTCTAACTGAGTCGTTTTTGCAGCTGTCTCATTAGGAACAGCTTGTCTTTAGCCATCACATGTTACTTTCAGTACTCTAGAATAATTTAAACCTTTCCCTCTCCATGACAGTTGATTTTAGATATGCACTTTACTGTGGAGATTGCACGCTTTGCTGGGTATCCAAGCAGAAATCTACATCAGGTAGCATCATCCATAATGGCTCGTGCATTCAGGGCATTTTCTGCCAGAGGCGTGGATCCTCAAAGGTAATAATTATACTTTGATGATGAAAATCCTGTTGCACTGGCTTATCTTATACTAACAGGAAAGCGCTTTCTTGTCAGTGCCCTACCTGAGGATGAGTGGTTTGTGGAGACTGCAAAAGGTGCAATAAACAGACTTCTTCAAGGAGCATCTGGTTCAGATACATCAGACGAGGATCATATCATCATGCATGATGATGGTATCTCGGACCCTGATGCATCACCATCTTCCCTTTCATCTATGGATGGCTCCGGCTCTGAGTCATTTGCCTCTGCAGAAATGGGTGATCTGGAAAGCCCCGTCTTCTCGGATACCGAGAGCTGATTCATTCAAGCTGTTAACTTAGTCTGGAACGATTGTAGAGAGAATTTTGTTGAAGATCTATATGCCTGTGATAGTCTCTCTGTTATGTATGTGTTAATGATGCTGTTATAGGATAGCTTGCCAGATAGATGACACTCATTGCATGTTTAGTAGCTCCAGAATTAAATTAAGCATCAGGAATATAAGCAATCGATCTTGTACAAGTGCTGTTAAACACTTGAGTTGTAGGATTATTATTACTATTAGAGCATTATTAGAGCAAATGGCGCCGAATGTCATCAAATAATCGGCTTTTGACCATTTTTTGTCACTTAAAACTTTTTTGTTAGCAAAAAATGTCACTCAACTGTTAAAAGTGCAACTTTTTGGTCATTCTGTTTGATTCAGGCGTTAATGCAAATAGAATGGGAAGGGGAGGGATTAAAATGTCTTTGAAATCCTGGAGGGACAATGTGAAAAGATAGAAAATTGTCCTGGGGTAAAAACATAAACATCAAAGAATTAGATACTTTAGCTAAATTGCATTAATGTCCTTGAACTAAAACTAATTTGCAAACAAAGGTCCTCCAATGGACAGGTCGTACCCATCAATCATCTACCATCAACAACGGTGCAAAGAACAAAGTTAGAAATCGATGTAAAGATCATCTGACTCCAAATAAACCCCCAAAGAAAGATATTTCCATAAACCCCAATAAAAAACGCAATCAAAACAGAGGATTAAACTCAAAAAATTCTCCAGCCTCGTGTCTAGCAGTCTAAGATGACGGTGCAGCCACCGTCTCTGTGGCCCATCCAAAATGATCGCATAGATCTCTCTTTCATTCTCCAATGGCAAGGGAGATTGGCTGGGATGACAGTGGTCAGAAAGCTCAAACCCTATACATGCAAGTCGCATGCATCCCTTTCCGTCTATCTTTCATATCTGGATCAGACGGAAAGATAAAAATATGGGATAATTTCACAAACCTCCATTGAGGTTTTTCATGATATTATTTGGCTCTCTTGAGATTTTTAAAATTTTATTTATCTCTCTTAGATTGATATTTCTATAATATTTTAGCTCCGTTTAATGAAATACAAGAAAGGCAAAACTTGTATTCTAAGGAAAAATTACCAATTTAATCCTTAAACTTTTTTTTTTCATCGATTTAGTCCCTATACATTATTTATAAACAATTTAATCCCTAAATTTATATTTCAGTTCCAATCAAGGAGTTTAGCGGCGGCGCCACCACATAATTTTCATCAGCTTCCTAATCGAGCAACCCAGAAGGGGTATTTTAGAGACTTCAATCCTGGAACCTTAACCAAAATTAACCGAAACAAAAGTCTTATAAGAAATACCCACCCAAAACCAAAAATGAAAACAAAAAAAATTTCTTGGACAAAAACTAGGGCTTTAGTCAATGATCTGCTAAACAAAATCAAAGTAGATCGTGATGAATAAGGAATCAGAGGGTGTAAGAAATCGAAAGATGGAGGTAGTGGGGGACAACATGCACGAAAGATGTAATATTTAGGAGAGGAAGTCAAGCAAATCAAGTAGGTTTAAGGACTACAATGTTGTCTGTTTTGTTATGTTAATAGCTTAATCATGGTTGGTAGGGATTATCTTATGTCAAACAATAGAGATTTTACTGCAACTGATGGTGGTTTAATTTTTTTTTTTGTTTTTTTTTTGTTTTTTGTGGAAATGGGTTCATGTGGTCCCTAACCCTTAACTTTAATTTGTAATGTTACTTTCATGTTTTGAAGATGGTAGACAACACTATGCAGAATCATGTGCTTCTAAATTAGCAAATTGTGGGTGTAAATTATTTTAATTTGTTTGAAAATTAAATAGGTGCTGAGTCGGATGTGTTTAATCTATATATCTTCTATGGTAGGGCATACTTTGAAAAACCAGAAAGAAAATATTTGGGTGGTAGCATGGAGCTTTTTGAGGGGGTTTTGGCCACAAAAATAAATATGACTATTGTGAGAGATTTTGGCTACTTACTTGGGTGTCATGCAGATGCCAGTTATAGGTATAGAATCCCTACTGAAAGTGGTGGTTGAGACTTAGGCAAATAGATGTTGAAGAGGATGTAATAGACATGGCTGGCATAGGTAAACAAATTGAGAAAGTTGAACTTTATGTTGTTCATGAATTTCATATTAGATCCATAGATCCTAGTTCATACCACTCAACTGTTGAAAGTGAAACTAAGAAAGAAAGTGAGGATTTGTGGAATGTGGTCATCACATTTGATGACTTCATTGAGAATGAAGAACTTCCAGTTCATGTTCTTGTCCAAGAATTGAACAATAGTAAAGGGAGAGGTCCTGAAACTGAAGAAGAGGATGGTGTTGAGGCTGAAAATGAGGCAGAATCCAAGTCAGGTGATGATGGTAAAAGATTTCATGATAGTGACTGTGATTTTAGTAAAGATGAGGATGACATAATATTTAAGAATTGTATTGCTACTGTTGACAATGCAATTGATGGCCAGATTGTCATAGATAATGCTGGTGTTGGAAAGAAAGCTGCTATACCAAATGCTAAAGAGAAGAATGTACCAGTATAGACACATAAGCAAGAACAAGCAAAAGTAAAAGAAAGTATTGCTGCTGACTTTGACTTTGATGTTTATGACGAGGACCAGATTCCTATCCAAGAGGAATCAGATTCCATGAACACAGAGGAGTTACATAGTTGCCATGATTCCTCAGATGAAAACACTTCAAGAAGTAAGCCAAAATATGTGAGGTTCAGGCCAGAAGTTGACATGAAGGATCCTAAATTGTTTGTTGGTTTACTGTTTGACACGAAGATGCTATTTAAAAGCGTAGTTGGCAGTTGAATTATATTCAGTGAAGTAGGGTAAGGAGCATAGTTGGGAGAAGAATGACAAGGGAAGGATTAGGGCAAAATGCAAGAATTGAAAATGCAAGTGGTTTACTTATGTTGCAAAAGAACCAGATTCTGATGCATTTGTAATTAGAACAATGGGACCAGAACATCGGTGTGGTAGAACTTTCTATTACAAATGTGCAAACTTAGATTTTTTGGCTAGACATTACATGGAGTTTTTGCGCATGAATAGAAAAGTTACAGTTGATGCATTTAAAGAAAAAGTGCATAAGAAGTTAAATGTAAATATCACAAAGGATCAGGTTTACAAGACCTTTGTAAAAGCCAAAATCTTGATTGAAGGGAAGTATCGGCAACAGTACACAAGAATTTGGGACTACTGTGAGGAATTGTTGAGCTCAAATCCAGGCTCCACAGTGCATGTTGAGATAGAGGTTGATGAGGATAGTGGAAAAGAAAGATTCCACAGGCTGTATATTTGTTTTACAGCCTTGAAAAAAGGCTTTAAAGAAGGTTGCCACCCTGGACTTGGTGTTGATGGCTGCCATTTAAGAGGACCACACTCGGGAGTACTCTTGACTGCTGTAGGGCTTGATGCTAATGATTGCATCTATCATGTTGCCTATGCAGTTGTGGAGACTGAAAACAAGATGTCTTGGAATTGGTTCATCGAGTTCTTAAAGTTTGATCTTAAAATCCATGACCAGAAAAGATGGACATGTATTAGTGACAGACAAAAGGTTGTATGATGTCGTCCAGCCAAACATTTTATATTTTCTAATACTATTGTTCCAAAAAGTGCATGTTTAGACTAATTTGTGAACTTTTTGTAATTTATATGACAGGGATTGGATTCTGCAATCCAAGAAATTCTTCCAGGAGTAGAGCACAAACATTGCGTTAGACATTTATACAACAACTTCAAAAAGCACCATCCTAGCGAAACACTTAAAGGTATGTTTTGGGCATGTCCAAGGTCCTCATGTGTCAATAAGTTTGAAGCTAAAATGGAGGTGTTGAGGTAGTATGGTGAGGGTGCACACAAATGGTTGGTCGATAACATATCACCCAACCATTGGTCAAGGTCACATTTTAGGACTACTTGCAAGTGTGATATATTTCCTAAAAAATATTCTGGACTTTCTTATAACTTGTCCAAGAAATTTTTCAAGGTGTCAATTACTCATCAAAATCCTTCTAAGTAGTTGACTTTGACTAGATTTAATTTACCCACATTCTTTACTGTCTCACCACAACTTCGATATAGAGAAATATGGACCATTATTAAATATCAATTTATTTTTTAATCTACATATTTTGGTATAAAATTTTATTTATTTATTTTTTCGTTAAATGGTTATTAAGAACAAGGATAATGTTGTCAATTTGTGACCTTTGATTGAAATATTTAATCTTGTCAAACTGATAGGGAAAGTAAGTGAGATTTTAAAAATTGCAGGGGAACTGAGTGATATTATGAAAACTTTCAGAGGAGATTTCTGAAATTATCCATAAAAATATTACACTTTTAATAGTTGGGTGACATATTTGGTTGAAAAAAAAGGTTTAGTGATCAAGAGTAGTCCAAGCTAATAGTTTAATGGTATTTAGTGCCATTTGCTCTTATTATTATTATTATTAGTATTGCTAATATTAATATTACTATTATTAGTAATGTTATTATTATTAGTATTACTATTATTACTATTGCTATTATTAGTATTATTCGTATTATTACTATTACCACTATTACTAGAATTGCTATTATTATTATTATTATTATTATTATTTTTATTATTATTATTGCTATTGCTATTCCTATTACTATTGCTTATTGCTATTGCTATTGCTATTACTATTACTATTACTGCTGCTACTACTACTACTACTACTGTTGTTGTTGTTACTACTACTACTACTATTATTACTATTTGCGTGCACACCTTTAGCTATTAGATGAGTAAATTGAAAAAAAAAATTAAATGAAAGTTGAGGAAGGGACTGTATGGAACTCTCAGAAAATATTAGGTAAAATTAAATGGTTTCATGGTCCCCACTTATTTTGTTGTTAAAATAGGTGGGGTACTATCGGAGTAATTCAATAAAAAAAATACAATTATTATTCAATGATTTTCAATTACAAATTTGATAACACAAATGAGAACTTTTGTAATGCTATTTTGATAAAAATTTGACCGTTATACATGGCATTACAAACTATAGTGTTTTGAAACTAAAATTTGGTATAATCATTAGATTGAATGTCAATTGTCAAGGTTGTCCTCCTATAATATTCTAACTATAAATATATATTCAAACAACATATATCTTACATTATAACACCTATCTTTCTTACTCTTGATAAGGAGATTCTTGTCCTATATTCTACTACTTAACAATGTTAGGTATATTATACTTGTTTTAATGGTGTTATGTTAGGTTTTTGTCTAACCCATTGGTGTATATTAGGGTAAACTACACTCAGAGATAGGTTAGAGGTGAGGTGCTAAAATTTACTCTATTACATAATACTCTGTAGGTGCAAAACATTTTAAAGAGGGCAATCTAATCTGTGTCTCAACTCATGCAGTTGAACTTTTTTATGGTACAAAAATTTTACATTTTTTCATGCAATATTGAGGTAAGATAATCTAAGTCATTATCTAATTGAATCTAATTTGAGAAGTATTCATATTCACGTAGTTATATTTGGCCCAAAACCAACACCAACTCCCAATATTTCCCTAATATGAGCTAGGTGATTAGAACGGCAAGATATAAATGGAGAGGGGAGAATGAGTTCAACCATTAACTGATCCAAAGCAGGAACCTTTTAAGAGGAGGCTGATATTGATTGCTATTCACTCCTTGGGGTAATTGAGAATGAATAAATTTTGCTAACAAGGGAGTCAGTTATTTCCTCTGTGCAATCTTCAATATTTCCATGTCAATTCATCCACATGTCATAATTGTGATATTTTGCTTTGTTTTCTAGGAAAAAAAAAAAAGAAAAAGATTGTGACTTTTGTTCATTTCACAGTAGAATTCACGAAAAGCAATTTAAAGAAAGAAAAAAAAAACTTGATTGTGACTTCTGTTTTATTTCACAATAGGAATGACCAATACGAATGTCTAAGATCTTTTAGGTCAATTATACTGTCTCGACTCCTAAGCTCTCACCTAAAATGAGCTAAGTGATATAATCGGAGAGTGGAGAGTGAGTTCAACAGTTGACTGATACAAAGTAGGAACATATTTCAATTTTCTCTAGAATCGTACCCGCTAATAGACATTGACCGGCAAACGTGGTTCTGGGATCATAGCAAGTGATATCCTTGGATGAGTTGTGAGTCCATATAATTCTTCCATGCAAATTTCTTCTGGTTTCATGCCATGAGGCAATTTCCAGTTGAATCCATGCAACAAGTTGGCCAACGTTGATCGAACAAGCTTGATTCCAAGGTTATAGCCTGGACACCTCCGTCGACCTGAGCCAAATGGCAATAGCGCAAAATTTTGTCCCTTCATGTCAATATCCTTCTCCAAAAACCTCTCTGGAATGAATTCTTCAGGAGAATCCCAATACTTTGAGTTCCTCCCGATACTCCATGTGTTTATAAACACCGTTGTTCCTTTAGCAATGTGATAACCAGCTACAGTGCAATCCTCGATGGCATAATGGGGTGCAAGCAGCGTTGCCAGCGGATGTAACCTAAAAGTTTCCTTTATGATCGCCTCTAGAAAAGGCAGTTTTGAGAAATCAGCCTCTTCCACCCACTTATCTTTCCCTATCACTCTATCAAGCTCTTCAGTTGCCTTTCGAATTAGACGTGGATGTTTGAGAAGTTCATTCATTGCCCATTCTACCGTGGTAGCTGAGGTATCTGTACCACCAGCTAGTAAGTCCTGGACATGATCAAATATTGGTAAAGTTAGTCCTGCCCTGATCCTGAATTGGTGAAGTATCATGCTTTACAACAGATTGAATCAGAAGAAAGCAGTTATGTTTAATGCGGCACATTATCCTAAGCAAAGCTGCTAGATTTGAGATTCGGTAAGTTAAAAAGAGGTAAAGAGATCTAGAAATTTCATTAAACCACAAGAAGAAATAGCACCTGAATTAGCCCTTTTATCTGATCTCTGGTGAGTTTGACCTGGAGATCAGGATCTTCAGCATATTGCAATAGAATGTCCACCATGTCCTTGGGGATAAAATCTTTCTCCGTTTTCCTCCTGGCCTGGTGATCATCAAGCACATGGTTATGGAATCTATCAAATTTCTTGTAAAGTTCTTTCATTTGCTTTATGTAACCCTGGAGATCAAATCTGTCGAGCCACGGTATCCAATCCCCGATATTGAACACACCACCCAGCCAAAACCATGTATCTATCATCTCTTGGAACTCTTCAAAGGTAACTATAGATCCTTCCCCTTCAGATTGGGCAAAGTACTTGTTACTCAAAACCATTTGGCATGCACTGGAGAGGGTAAGACGCATTAGATGATCTCTCATAACTACTGGCTTTCCAGATAGAGCATACAAACGAGAAATGAAAGCACGCCTTTCTTCAATACGTATGCTGTCGAAGAAGTCAAGTCGCTTTGGATTAAATATTTGGGTTAGATAAAGTTTACGAGCTTGTCGCCAGAATGGACCATAAGGCGCCCATGTCATGTCGGAGCAGTTGTAGCTAGTATATTTGCCAGCAGCAGTTGCAGGCCGAGAGGCGAAGATGTTGTCATGCGTTTGCAAGAATTCTTTTGCCATTTCAGGGGATGAAGCTACTACAACAGGGCTGGAACCAAGTTTTAGTTGCATGATTTCTCCATATTTCCGGGACAGCAAGTGTAAAGATTGATGTGGGATTGAACCTAGGAGGTTCAAGTTGCCAATAATAGGCCATGGTTTTGGTCCTGGTGGATGATTTAACTTCAGGCGTTTGTGAGTGGATATTTTTGAGAGAAAAGCCCATGCAACAATCCCTGCCAAGGCTAAGAGCAGCCAAGTGCTTTCCATCAGGGCTGAATAATAAGTTATGGCAGTGAACTCCTCTGGGGGTCTAAATACGGAACTTCAGTGGGGGTTTTATGTACATGGTAAAGTTTGACAAGGTTAATCCGTGGCACATTCATTGAATTCGAATTTTTTCTTCGAATAAAAGATTTAAAAACTAAGAAAAAATTTGCATAGTGGTTGTTACTGTAATGCAACTAAATATAACAAAAATAACTATTGTTGAAATAGGAACAGTTACTTATGTTGCTAGAAATACATATGAAGAGAGTTGAGGTGAAAAAAATTGAAACATTGATGAACAGGTTTTGAAAATATAATTTAAAATATTAGAGAGAACAAGTATAGTCTCCTAAAATTTAAGACGGAAGTCATACAATTCACCAAATCTTTCTAATTGTGGTTCTAATTGCAAGGCGACGACCAGAAATTTTTGAGAATCAAACCCAAAAAAAAAATTTTTTTGAGAGCGGTACCCGCCCCATTCACCATTTGGCTGATTCGACCCGTACCTTGTGGGTCAGCCATTTTTTGACCCTTACCCACCCCGTATATCAGCGGGTACCCTATAATCGGATACCCGCTGAGATAGGGTCGGGTCAGCAGATACCCGCCCCATCTCATTTATCATTTAATTTAATAAAAATGATTTATACTAATTTAATTTTATATTTTACACATTCATCTAAGATTTAACAAATTTTTTTTCTAAAAAAAGGTTTCCCACCAAGAAACAAGCATGTGAAAAGAATATAAGATAAAGGAAAAAAATTAAAAGAATTTAAAATCAATAAAAGTTTGAAATAAGTAGCACAATTTTTAATATATATGTTCCACATTAATTAAACTTTTTTCTATAAAATATAAGATCATGACCTCTACAAATGAATCTTGTAAATAAACTATAGTCTCTCATATTTGTAATGCAATTTGTTCAATAAAATTACTTATTTAATTCTAAATTATTATTTTATAGTGCGTGTATAAAAATAAAAATAAAATATATATATATATGCGGGGTGGATCGGGTACCCACGAGTTTTTAATTATGTGACCCTAACCCGCCCCGCATCTTAGGGGTATTCGACTCTCTTTTGACCCGATCAAATAATAAAAATTAGATATCCTAATTTTCGGATCGGAACGGATCGAATATGACGGATTTTTGGATTAGCAGATAATTTTGCCCACCCTGACCTAAAACAAGCTCTACTTTTTCTAGTGAAAATACAAACTCTTCCAATAATATGAAGGCAATGAAATTAATGAGGTGAATAGATTGAGCCAATATGATAGGAAAACTGGCATTAAATTTCCAAAATAAACCTATAGTATTGACTATTGAGGGAAAAGTATCAATTAGTGATTTGTGATGTTGACTTTGAATGACATGAGGTCAAGCTTATCCAACGATTATGCCCCATCAATCACTTTTTGCCATTGATAAACTTTGCTAAAAGCCTCTAAATTTTTGCCAAACGTCTCAGC